AGGTATCGTTTCTTGTTCTTTTCGTTTTCCTTGTTCTTTTATATGTTTTTTCCCTTTAATTATAATTTACTTATATGGGGCCTTTTAACTTATATGAGGTTTCAATTGCTTAAGATCAGTAAAGATTGATGTTCGTGTTTATTCAGCTTGATAATTAGAAGGGTTTGTGTTGCTTAGGTTTAGTTTAAAGTCCTTGATGTGGTTTGGGGTTGAAGTTTTTCGGTTGGTTACTTTTTAGAGTTTTTCAGCTGGTTATTTTTAGGGTTTTGGTTGCTTCTGTGTTTGATTAAAGTTTTGTTTCCAGGGTTTTGCAGCTGCCCACAAAGAGAATTGATTGAAGCCTCACAAGCACAGTGTTTAATATCAGAGGCTTCTATGATGAATGATGCAGGTAGTGTAATAGGGGAGTACAAATGGTGAAAAGTGAGGAAGATGGCTCTAATCATTTGGATTAGCAAGATTTTTAAATGCGTAACGCTTGAAATTTGGGTGTTGAAGTAAATATACAAGCGGGTATAGGCACGATGCGGAAATCTTTGATCTCATAAAATTTTAGATATTTAAAACATTATAAACTTCAGTTTTTGGTGTTGTTACTACTAAAGAAAGTAACATATGCAATAAAATACCTTTCTAATATGGGATACAAAAAAAAAAAATTGTACTAAAAAACAATTACAAGTTTCTATAATTTCCACACTCCCCCTCAAACTCAAGAGGGGGAAGAGCAACTTGAGTATTTGAGTTTGGACGACCAAAGGCAGGTCCTAAAAACAAAGCATGAACAAAAGAAGCTTCAGCAGCTACAAATTAGCAATCTTTAGAAACCGACGCCTCGAACAGAGGTATCTCGGATAACAGCAAATCAATAGTCATCCGAAACAATGGAACAAACAGAATTGAATAACGAAAAAAAAACCTGATCATCACATGAGATGGAGTAACAGAAAACTCCATCACCCAATAGTATTGAACAACGAAAAACTCAATCATTAAACATGATCGAGTAACGGAAAACTTCATCATCAACTAGGATCGAGAAATTCAATCATCAAACGGGGCGTACTTGGAAGAGCCAACAAAAATCAACGGTGGATCAACAAGCACAATTGGACCTTAGATTCAGAGTTGATAACTGAAAGATCCAAAACAAATCAGAAAGTTGAAACACGACTCAGCAAAGAGGCAGATCAGAGAGTCGAAACACGACTGGGTGGCTGTTTCGCAGATGGTGCAGATTGGCAGTTTTCAAATGTCATTTTAAGAAGCGGATTTAAAGGCTGGTCTCAGATCCGGCTCACCAAGGGTTTTGATGCTGGAAATCTGCTCATGCTGTAGAAAGAGAGTTTTAGGTTCTTTGTTCTTGTTCCAAAAGTTTTTTTTTTTTTTGCTTGCGCTCGGATGTTAGCATAATTGGTACTGCCTTCTTGATCATTAATCATGGAGTGTTTGGAGGGCTGCATATTTCTGGATCCTAAGCTACCGGGATTGAACCCAACCGTACATAAATCTATATAGCTTTGCAAAGGCATTAGCCGCTTCACACAGTGTTGATGTTGGATTGAGCAAATATAGAAGACGAGACGAAATTTGCAACAAGATTCTCAAGTTGCCACAAGAAGGCCAAGATTTTGCAAATAAGGGGCCTTAGAAGGTTTTGCAACAACGAAAATTTCAAAGACGATTTGCAACGATGGTAACAGTTTTTGCAACGATGTAAAGGAAGTTTTGCAATTTGAAAGGTTGAGATTTTGGTGAGAGAAAACCAACGAAAGTTGCAAATTTGCAACGAAATTTATGATGAAAATTTGTATTGAAATTGGAAAGGGAGACATACCTTCAATAAAGGAACAACTTACATAGGGGCCCGTTGATTTGGAGTGGTTGAGGGGCCTTTAGGATTTGAGGTGTTGAAGATTGCGTTGAATAATGGTAGACTAGAAATTAGAGTTACAAATTGCAAAGTAGTAGTTCCCGATCTAGCCGAGACAAACTTGGTTCTCATAACATGTGAGAAATTGTATTTCTGTATATTTGAGCCTTAAGTACCATGAAAAATGTGTTTATTGGGTTATAAAGTTGTATACTATTAAATAACATATACAATAAATTATATTTCTAATATAGAGTACACAAAAAAAGAAGGAAAACATTGTACCAAAAAATAATGACAGGTTTCTATAATTTCTGAAAGGGTATGTAGAGAGAAAGGATAGAGAGAGGGTGGGGAAAGGAGAAAGAGTGGGGGCACAGAGAGAGAGAGTGAGAGGGCGAGTAGAGAGTGGTAGAGAGAGGACGGTAGAAACACAATAAGAGAGGTGATAGGTAGAGAGAGTAAGAGATGAGAAGGGTATTTTAGTCTTAAAAACAACAAAAAATAATAGGACAAATTGCAAAAAAAAAAAAAAAACCCAAAGACTACACTTTTTATGCAACTTAATCCTAACTAACCTTTTTGAAAAAAGTTTATTTTTTAAATGGAAACGCCCATCCCCATACACAAATATCATTTTGGTCAGATTTGACGTTGACTTTTGGATCCCAATAGCACATTGTTGGAGCGCACTATCACATTGCCAAAGTGCACAAGTGCCGGACAGCTCTAAGACAACTATCGGACAAAAATTGAGTACTACCCAACTGCCCTTTACCTAACGTCGAAGCCTTGGAATCCAATAACACCAGACTACCTTTTGCAACTGTCGAACCACCCTTTCAATTGTCGGACCGCACTTTACACAGTTTCGGAAGCCTATTGCGGACTGCACTTTACACAATGCCGGATCATGCTGAAGCCCCTATTTTGATGGGATAGACGTCAAAGAGGCATGTATAAAATAAAAAGTAAGAGACGGTAGTTTAGGCATTTTTTATTTTTTAATTCGGTTGAGGGTATTTGCCTATAAAGTGTACTTTGGGTAAAAAAGTGAGATAAAAAGTTAAGTTAGGGTAAATTGCATAGAAAGTGTAGTCTTGGTTGTTTTTTATTTGCATAGAAAGTGTAGTTTGGGTAAAAAAGTGAGATGAAAAGTTAAGTTAGGGTAAGTTGCATAGAAAGTGTAATCGTGGCTGTTTGTTTGTTTGTATCTTTTTTTTATTTATAATATTCTCAAAATAATAATATTGGCTATAATATTAAAAAGTTATTTGGGTATATGAAAATCTATTACATGAAAATAAATTACAACGAAACTAGACATTTACACTATTTGGGTACACTTTAATAATAAGGAAATGGAAAGACATTACCCAATATTTCCCAAAAATCATTAAATCCATTACGTCGGTGAGGGGTGCAAAATCTATAATGAGGTTGACGGGTAATCTTTTACAAATCTTTCGCGTGCATCTCTGCCTTATTCCCGCTTAAAAAAAACATTCCCCTCCTCTTAAGTATACGGGTATTGTATAATTATTAAGGTAAGTACAAAGTGAAAATAGAGAATATGAAAAGGAGAATCTAAATTGATTTGAACAGATGTAGGATGAAAATTTTCTATTGCAATCATAATAAAAAAAATTCTATATCCCCTATCCCCAATTTCGGTTGTAGCCCTTATATGACTCTCCTATAAAAACAAATTTTTTTAATAATCGGTACGTGAAAGTAAAGGGAAATCTAAATTGATTTGAAAACTTAATGAGGGACAATTTTTTACGGCAATCATAATAAAAAAATTCATACATCCCTCTATTCCCAATTTGGGTTGTAGCCGATTGTAGTATAAAAACAAAAGTAATGAAAATAATAATTGGTAATCAATGAGAAATTACACAACACAATCATATACACAACATAATCATCACAAGATATTAGTAAAAACTCAATTGAAATAAGATACATCTTTAGTCTTCTCCAATGCTTCAAAATTTTCTACAGCAATTACTAAACCTTGTAGCTTACTAATCAAACTTTTTCCCATTTTTTAACTTGTACCATCAAGATTTTGATTTTGGTATCATAAATTTATTGCTTATTTGAAATTATATATGGAGACATTTGAAAGACTTCTATAAAAAATAAATAAAAATAAAGCGATCACAATAAAATCATGTTATTCCAATCATATTATTCCAATGACTTATCATATTGAAACCAAAATCTAATCTTGTTAGCTAACACATAGCCATATTTTTCATATTTAGATGGTAATGCATTTTTCATATTCCTTCCAAACATAGCCAAACTGTAGCAATGTATTTCTCAAGTTACATCTAAATACTACCCGACAATCGATTTGCAGGTAATGTATTACCCGTAATATATTTCACAGACAATATATTTTCTGGTATCTGAACAGTATCCGAGTGAATTTGGGAGTATATTGAAATCCACGGTAACAAGTGCCATCACCGTCAATCTATTAACGGACGCTGATAGAGAACGCATGGAGCCCACCACGTGTGAAATGAGCTACTGCAGCCATTTTTTGGACGGTGATAAGGATTTATGATATTACCTCGCGTCACAATAGTAAGATATGGTCCCTCTATCGACCCATCACCATCGACTCATTTAACTCGACGGTGCTGATAATCCTTTATTATCATTAGACGTGGCACCATCAATCATTTGGTAAAGATGTGACAATTTGATTCTGCCACCCAAAACATGAGTGGAGACATCTCAAACAAGCGTGGCCAAACACTCCGGTTCCGAATTATGAGAGGAGACAAAATCTTGAGCCCTGCTGTGCACACGTGGCATCACCTTGCCAATACAAATTCGGCCACGTCATCAACTCCAAAAATTGAACGAACTGTTACGTCTCCCATTGACTTACACTCGACCCACGTGTAACACATCGCGGCGATTAGGCGCGTCTCCCACAAAACATCGCCGATTTAATCGTGAAATGGGAACTTTTCTACGGGTCCCACCGAAATTTCGCTCAAATCTCACGCGATCTATTCGTAACCCCTGTCCGACGTGAGTTTCACTTTTATTTCACTCTCATTTCACATCCATTTCATCTACGCGCTCCCTGAGAGCTATAAATATGGGTCTCAGGGCGGAAACGGTGGACGACTCAGTTGCTTGATCCGGTCGGTGTCAGTGTCCTAAGCATTAGGATTAGGGTTAGGTTAGGTCAGAGTTCGGAGGAGCAGGTGGAGGTGGAGTTCGTCTTTTTATTTTGCTGAAAAATTAGGGTTTCGGCTTCCAGTTCTGAGAGAGCTCGAGTTTTTGCAGAGGTGTGTAGGTTTTGCTGTTGATTCTTGTACTGCTAATATGATTTATGTCCCTTTTGCTGAGGTTCATTGAAATTTGTTCATTTTGGTGTTTTAGTTACTTGGTTTTTATGTTTTTTTTTTTGTTCTATGGGTGAATGCATGCTTGGTTATAGCTAGATGATGCTGTTGTTTGGGTTTATGCGTATGGGTTCTGGTTCTAGGGCATTAATTTCAGTTACTGTAATTTCAACTTTAGTTGCATGGAAGTATAGTTTTAGAGTTTCTTTTTGTTATTATAGTTTCTGCTTTTTTAGCTGCATGAAAGTGTGGTTTTAGGGTTCATGTTTGTCATTGTAGGATTTTGCTTTTGTCAGGTTTTTGTTTGGCTGGAGATTGTTTCTTATATTATTGTGTGAAATTGGAGGCATTGGGTCTGATTTTAGGGTTTTCTTGTGCAGTACTGTAGTCAACTTGCTGATGCTCAGTTTTGGGTATCTGTAGTTTGTTTTTCTTTCTTTCGTGACATTGAATCTTAATGGGGTTTCTCGTGCATTATTTGTTTGCACTTGTAATTCTTGGTTTGTTTCTTTATCTCCGCAATTGGTTCCGTCCTGCTTTTGTGATATTGATTAGAGCTTGCATTGTGTCCAATTTTTTTTCCTTTTTCCCGCTGTTTGGATATTTCATGCGTCAATTTGAATTTTTCTTTTGTGCTTATAGAGAATTGAGTCAATTGACTCGTTTTATGAGGACTTATAGTGATTTGATGCTTTTACGGGATTATCTTTAATGGGAGGTTCCGACTGCTGCAGTCAGTTTATTTAAGAAAAAGTTTATATAAGGATGCAACCTTATAATGTAGAACTACAGATGCACCTAAAAAATCCATTGGAAAAGGTCGTTTTAATGTTGAAAAACCCTTTGATTGATCATCAAGATGTATGACCATAAAAAATAAAAAGATTTTAAGTCTCAGAAATTGTGCATTTTACAACATATTATCTACACTGTCTATTTTCAAGTTTTTCATATGTTTATAGATCTACTTGATTTTAACTATTTTTGAAATTTAAAATTTTATAATTAGATATAAAAATAGATTTTGAGATAATCCTAAGAACATTTTACATCAAATTATATACCATGATAAAATTTGAAGGTGCACCTTACATCTACAGCTACTGATGCATCTGTATGCCAACTGCACCCTTTCTGAAATAGTTAGTGTTTTCATCTCTCACTCATCTCCTATTTCAACAACACCAATGCAAGATCATAAAGAAACTGAACATGGGATAGGGAGGATTTTTATTATTTTCGCAACACTCCTAGGTGACTGATGTGCCTAGTGTATTTGGAATGAAGAGGATAAATACTTTCATTTTGTTTGCTTGCTTATTTTCTCAAGAAGCTCCATTCGTTCAGAATGAATCAATGGGAGAGAAGTTAGAAAGTGTTGTAGCTATTCAACAAACCAAGTTGACGGACCTGAGTGGGATACTGAGTGCTCCTAGAATTAAGAGGACAAAATGTGTTTTACATCGCCGTTTTCTATCTTGTTTCTTCAAAGAGCATCCGTAGTTTGATCTGTGGCTTTTCTATTTCGATGGAGGACTAATGGAGAATGTGTTTTGACGTTCCATATAAATTTATTCTTCTAGAAAAGTTCTCCTCTATGGCATGTTCTCATCAATATAATTCAAAAAAAGCACTTGTTCTTGATGTTGAGTTGTGAAGATGGAAAGCTGCGACTTTATAAGGCAAGTCATACACACATTCTTTTTCTGGTGAAATTGTCTGGGATTGTGGTTTTAATCATGCTGTTTGGTCTTTGTAAACCTTATAGGTTCCTTCAAGAGTTTTAGAAGGTGTTTGATAGTTGAGTGTGGTTATCATATTGAGATCCATTCCATATTGCATCCTCTTGGATTCCTCTTTACTTTCAGTTTGTGTTTCATTAGCCTGTCTTTGTATTAGAGTACCATGTTTTTGGAGGATTTGACTAACAAAGCAGTATTACGACTTACAGGCATCTTTCTTTGTCATTTTAGTAAAGAATGTAATGGGTCGGCATACACATTCTTTCTCCTGTGTGTACAGTTAAATAAACACGTTTTGATTGACGTCTTTACCGCTTCTTGACCTGCAGAGTAGAGACTTCCATACCTAACTAGTATCTGAAAGCTGAAGCTCACGCAAAATGTCGACCATGGAGGTTTATGGTAAATTGATGAATGCTGCCGAGTCATCAAATGTTATTTACTTATCCAGTATTTTGAACCAGGAGGAAGCTATTCCGAGTCACAAGTGTGATAGAAGGTGTCAAAATGAACATATGTGCGCGAACATTTATCGATGCAAACTGACTGGGCTCACCCACATTTGCGATAAGAATTGTAATCAGAGGATTGTATATGACAACCATAGCTCTTTTTGCAGAGTTAGTGGGCAAATTTTCCCTCTTACACCAGCTGAAGAGCAGGCAGTAAGAGGTGTGAGGAGGAGGCTCGAAGGGGGGGAGAATACTGATGGGTGTGCCTTTAAGCGTAGGAGGGATGCTCGTCTGCATCCTTCACCCTTTGAGAGGTCTTTCACTGCCATGTCTCCAATCTGTAGTCAAATGGGAGATGGCATGGATATGAGCTAGTACTGTACATATTAAAGGACCCTTATGCTTTCTTTTTCTGTACTTTTTTTCGTTTTGATTTTACTCACTCTTGGGTGAGGGATCTAGGGAAAAGAACTTCATAAGATGACCTTGGGGTCTAGAGAGGAACTTTTGAATGGGTCGCTCTGACTCCTGAATAATTTCTAGCAACAACTATGTTGTTTTTTATGTTTCACTTATTTAGGGCTCTGGTCATGTAACTTTAACCAATTCTCGGACATATAGTTTATATTTTATTAGCTTGACTACCTCTTGTTTACCTTATCTTGTATGCATTGTTCAAACTGCTATTTGCTCTTTCTTAAATTACTTCATGGAAGTCATGTATGTATCAATTGAGCTGCTACTCATTGTTTGTTACATCAATCTCTTGTTTGCATTTTTTGAATTTCTGTTTATGCTACTACAACTGGTGGTTTCCTATGCTATCTTATATGTATTGTTGGTGGCCTCTTGTTAATAAGAGTGCAGGTTCTTTCAAATTCAAGAAAAGCCACTTTATGGGTTGAACTGGTAGTCTTCTTTTCTGTTTTTTAGATGAATATTGGACATTTCCTTGTCCATATTGCTCCTTTTTCTCTTTCCATTGAAATGAAATGAGGTGCCTGAAATGTATGTTATTTTGCAGGAGTTCAGGTATATGCATGCCATGGGTTGCGAAAAATATTGTATTGCTGGGACTGAATACTTATATTTTAGTATTATTACTCAGAAGAAAATTTTTGTCATATTGCACACTTTGGGCTTGAAAAACTGCCTATTACTGACAGTCTTTGTTCATGCATCTGTGCAGGCTGACAAATTCATTTGACTTGATTGGAAACCATTGGATATTCGTCTGATTGGAAATTGTATGTAAAACCTATCCTGTTTGGATCTGCTCTATAGGCTCTCTGGCCCATGGCTTACAGAGAAAGGTCGGTTGTTGTGAGCTGTTGAAATGGAATGATATACGTTACTCAATTCAGTGGAAGCGCCATCTTCCGATGTTTATGCTCAAGGAGAGGCCATTGCGTGTTTCTATGTTAGCTTGTGCAAAAGATGCTCCTGGTTGTGTGATCATATTTCAAAGTTGCATGTGACAACTTCCCAATGAGGCTTTTGAGAGACATGAAAGCTCATCCTCCTGCCCTGCTTCTATTGTACTTCCCATTTGAGCATTGCAAGATGCTTGAGTGATGAAGAGCCAGAATACATCATAGAGAAGTGTGAGCAGAAGGCGAGGCTAGGAGATGGAGAGGAAGAAAAAGAATGGGAAAGAGATGTCTAAGAAATATGAAGGAAATAAGAAGCACAACCCCTTAACATTTATTTGGGAAGCAGGTGAGTTTCATCATCTTTTTATTTTGGGGCTTGGTTTTATTAATTTCTTTGTATTGTATTTTGGATTTGGTTTTGTCAGCTCTCTCTCTCTCTCTTTGTGATACACATCATGTAACATGTATTGTGCCTATGCTCATTATATGATTTTTGCATCATCTATTCTATAACTAGTATGCAGCTTTTACAACTAAAATAAGAGATTATTCTAAAACATTGTCACATGCAGCTGTTATGCCTCTTCTAAAAGTTGATCTTGTTATTTTTTTTAAAATAAGAAACTCTTTAACCTTCCATTGTTGATAATAAAAAAAATTAGCTCTTATCATTTAATCTAATTTCACTTTTTATCTAATTCATAAAAACTCACCCATTTACTTTTAATAAACTACTTGCTCAATATTTTTTTCTCGTTGTACTATTACCTTTCTATTGAGATGGGGAGAACCTGATATTTATCTTCCCATTTGGAGCCATATTTTGTAAAAGGGGGGAAGCTTCTTTTTATATTTGCCCCATTGCATATTTGCCACCCATTATATGAGGAGAGAGAACCCATTTATTTACCTTAATATTTGTGTTTGTGCAAGTAACATTTTTACATATATATAAAGAAAAGATTCCATGGCCCAATGGACTTGTACAATCTCAAGTTGTTAAGGATCCCAACACTTCTTTGCATTCATTTTGTTTAATTATTATTTGTTTAATCAAAGAAAGATGATGTGGAAATTCAGCTTAAAAACCCCTCTAGCTAATGAGTTTTATGTGGCTGTGTTTTGAAAACAGCCCACTGTTGCATCAGCTTGACCGTTTGTAGAATCTCTTTCGTAATTTATTATACATCTTGTCCACAAATGGCATGACATTTATCAATATTGAAGGCATTTCTTTTATTTCGGTTGCATTTTTGGTGAGGAAAAAGTTCCATATAACCAATCAACTCTATATTGTACGATTAAGGTGTACTTCAAACATCCACAGGAAAAAGTTGTTCCCACATTGAACTGCCCAACAATTGATCATGTCAACCTCAAGATATATGGACATCAGCGAAAAAAAAGATTTAAGGTCAAAAAATACTACATCTTGTGACATATTTTCTGGACCGTTGTTTTCAAAATTTTTAGTATTCATAGATCTGCTAAGATCTACACTAATTTTGGAAATAATTAGGAAGGAAAATAGAGTTTTAGGCCATTTTATGGGTTTCTGGCACCAAAAGTACATCTTTTAGCAAGATCTAGCAGTGAGACTTGCTTTGATTGTTTGATGTTGATATCTTATAAAAACTGCGCTCTTATGTTAAATCTGAGCGATTAATTATAGCCATGGAAGTCTTTTTTGCTTTTAAATCTATTTCTTATGGAAACATTTGTGCTAGACCAGTTCTTAAAAAGCCCATTTTAGGCAAAAAAGCTAGATCCCTTCATCTATATTCATGTATGCGATCTAGAAGTGAACTTGATTCTTGATGAATTGAGCCTGTACTCATGATATTTTTACATTCTGTTGGATTAGGTGAGTAAGTACCTTTTGTGTATTTGAGGTGCTTCATATCATCTGCATTTTTTATAGGGGGGGAAATAGTGTTGATATTGTACTGATGAAAAAAAAAATTTCATAGTGGCTTATCTTAAGGTTTTTTTTTTTTGTTTCATCTTCGAAGCGGGATTTTATTTGTTCTCATTTGCATGACTCTGGTGGTAATATGATGTCCATGTGGTTTCTCTCTCTCCCTCGATACCTGATGTATATATTTTTCTGTTGTTAAGCAAATCAAGCGTGGGATATGTGCTGGTAACGAAGTGGCTGATGCAAGTAACTACAGGCAAGTGCTTTATGTAGAATTGGCTACAGATGCTTTGGAGAGAGAGAGAGACAGAGAGGCACACACTCGTCATTTGAGGGAAGACTGATTGTAACCTTGCGTCTGTTATTTGAAAAATGTGAAATTAGTGTCAAATATTTGTAATTTGAGCCCAAACTGTTATTTGAAGAATGTGAAACTAGTGTCAACTGTTTGTAATTTGAGCCAAAAATATGTGGCTTTTCCGAACTAAACTTTGGATGGCATTTTCATTGTAACCGCATAGACTTCAATCTTATAGGTGGGCAGTTTTAAAGTAGAACTCGTGAAGCATTGTGGGCGAATTCTTATTTTCTTCACTCGCTTGTATAATACTAAAACCAAAACCAGTGTTTAAAAAAACGTCGAGTTGAATCGGATTCGTCCGGTTCGACTCGAGATTCGTCATGGAGGGATCAAACCCTTAAAAAAATCGGTAATCGTCCGGTTTTAGAGAGAACTGGACGATTCTGCACAGTGACTCGTCAATTCACTGTACGGAATCGGCGAGTCTCGTGAAGAATATGGGCTGCACAGTGTTTTTTACGGGATTTTTGAAATTTGTCATTTCTTGATCATTTTTTTTGTTTTTTTTGGCATGTGATCTAATTTACAGGTTTTAAACAATTTTATTCAGCTTTTACACGGGTTAAATGGTTGAGAAATTTGGTGTTTTTGGACCACGAAACTTGCATTTTTAGGGTTGCTGTTTTTCCTCGTGTTTCATGTCAAATAGGGTATGAATCTTTCAAATTTTGTAGGCATTTTGATCTTAAAGGTGTTCATCAAAACCTTTTGTTATTAATTTGTGATTATCGTTGAGAAAAACAAAGTTTTTTAGAGATTGAAGGCTCCGGTTCACAAAATCAAGTAAGAAGTTTGGGTTTTTTTTTTTTCCGTCATATGATTAATTTCACTGCATATTTTGAAGATAATGAATTCAATTTGTAGGGTTTTTAATCTTTATTGTAACTATTTTGATTTAACATATTCAATTTTATGTAATTTGGTCAATTACAGCATGAAATTTGAGATGAACACAGAGATGTCTATGGAATCAAATTTTCGTTGTTTTTTTTTATTTTTTCCGCCTTTTGATTTTTTTTTCATGATATATAAGAAATAATGGGTTCAAAATTTAGGGTTTTGATTCCTTATATTGTTGTTTATCAGAAAATGTACTCAATTGGATGTAATTTATTCACTTAAAGGTGGATTTTTTAGTTAAAATGGCTTATGTAAGATGGTTCTGTGAAGAACATTAATTTTTTTTTTTTTGTAATCCATGATCGAATTTTTTGTAATACTTGATCGATTTTTTGTAATCCATGATCGAATTGTTTTTTTTTTTTTATTAATCCATGATCGAATTTTTGTTTTTGTTTTTTTTGTAACCCATGATAGAATTTTTTGTAATCCATGATCGAATTTTTTGTAATCCATAATCGAAATGTTTGTTTTTTTTTTGTAATCCATGATCGAATTTTTGTTTTTGTTTTTTTGTAACCCATGATAGAGTTTTTTGTAATCCATGATCGAATTTTTTGTAATCCATGATCGAATTGTTTTTTCTTTTTTGTAAACCATGATCTAATTTTTGTTTTTTTTGTTTTTTGTAATCCATGATCGAATTTTATGTAATCCATGATCGAATTTTTTCTAATCCATGATCGAATTTTTTGTAAGCCATGATTGAATTTTTTGAAAACTTGTGATTTTTTTTTTTTGATCCATGATCGAATTTTTTTTTGTAATCCATGATCGAATTTTTTGAAAATTTGTGATTTTTTTTTTTTAATCCATGATCGAATTTTTTGAAAATTTGTGATATTTTTTTTTTAATCCATGATCGATTTTTTTGAAAATTTGTGATTTTTTTTTTTAATCCATGATCGAATTTTTTTTTGTAATCAATGATCGAATTTTTTGAAAATTTGTTATTTTTGTTTTTAATCCATGATCGAATTTTTTTTGTAATCAATGATCGAATTTTTTGAAAATTTGTTAATTTTTTTTTTAATCCATGATCGAATTTTTTTTTGTAATCCATGATCGAATTTTTTGATAATTTTTTGTACTTTTTTTTTAATTTTTTTTAACCATGATCGAATTTTTTGAAAAATGATGATTTTCCTGAAAGATGTGAAAATCGTGATAAGG